TGGGCAGGGAGGAGCGGCAGGAGCTGAGGAAATTATTCCTCACGTTGCAATCCCAAAAAACATTCGAAACCAAATCGGCGATAAAGCCAAAGCAAGATACGACCCAAAGTCAAATGTTGTTCGAGCATATGGGGAAGGGAAAAGATACACGTGCTGTATGGGTTGTATATAGGGTTGTCAAGTGCCTCAGTATGGCTGTTGCTATTTGAATAATTTTTGAATATTTTAGCTATTTAATTATTCATAATTTCACGTTTTAATCTCTTTTCAGGGACACAAAAAAGACTGAAATTTTTGTAAGGGAGCCACCCTAGGAATTACCATAAAATATATATTTAAGGTATCCTAAAGTAAAAAAATGTGTTTAGAGGTAAAACATAATTCTCTCTCCATAATTTATTGAACGAAAAATAGCAATAGATTTCATATTTCAGAGTATTATAATATTAAGAAGATGTGACAACCCTAGCAGAAGAGAATGCCCTATAAAAGAACATGGCAAACCCAGTTCCCTGAGCACACTTGACAACCCTGCCAGGCATATCTGCAAAGGAAATGGTAAGTACACCTACACTTACACGATACCATACTCCACTCTACTCTGGGGGCATCCTTTTACGCTTCAACAGTTTTTATAGTTGTTTGCCTTATCATCGAAAGAATTTCCCAAATATTCTTGGGAAAATGTATGGGGACGGGAGGGAGGTTGTGAATCACTTTGAGGGCGTGTCCACTGTTCTGCTGTGGATACTCGTAGTTTATTGTTAAGGTAATGAACTTGGAATTTATATGCAAATACCATGTAATTTGCTCATTAACAAATTGTTCGACGTCTACCAGAGGCCCTCCTGAAGTAGGTACATGAAAACAGTCGTCAAAGTCAAGAGGGGTTGATCGCTAAGGATATTGAATATCCTCAAATAACCACTTGAGTGTTGTGAGAAGTACAACCCCTAATGGCATGTTTTGGGCGAGTCGCAGCACCAGCACCAGCACCAGCCCATCATCTCGTGTGTCACATTATAACTCAATTTAAAATTGTGCTGAATACTGCTTCTGGCTCTGACATATTAAATTAATATTGACACATTGACAGCTGCCAAAACAAGATTCCCAGCCCTGCCACACAACACAACAATCATCTCCTCCTCAGACTCTTCTCCTAACAGTCCATAACAGAACTATATTGAGTACAGAGCCAAAGTTTCGACAAATTTTCTGCTGTCGTCGGCATCGACCACCCGCCGGCTGTCCACCAATTTTCCACCGATGCGGGTCGAGAGCATGAAATTCGCCTCGAACTTCTCGAATTCCGTGGTCTAATCATGCGCAACGTTTGCTATTTGGGTGAAATTTTTAATTGCCCCACGCAACGCGATCGAACGAATGCTCATCGATTGTTCCGTGGAAATTGTCAGTGTCATCAGTTGGGGGTTTGGTTCTTGTATCTTTTTGTTTCGATGGTGTCTCCTATCTAAAGCGCCCCTGGGAAAAGCGCACGTTCACTTAATTGATAGATAGATACATTGATAAATGAAAACTAATGGCAATGGGTGGTACAATAAGATACAATAAGGTCTCGCTTCTATGCGTATCGTATCTGTTTGATTTGCCCTAATTTGGCTGTGGCTGTGTGTGGATTGAAGTGCAAAGTCAACATTAAATTGGCGCAAACTAACAAATAGTTTTCTTGTATTACATTCCCGTTTTGGTTCCAGGGATGGGCCGCCCTATGGTGTTGGGTTCTAATATAATATCATTCGTTTTTTGGGTGTTGGCAATTGTAGTTGGCACCTCATAAATAATTCGACTGAATCATTGGGTTCAGTTAAGCTAAAAGCATTCGAAAATGTGAACATCAAACATGGAAATATAATACATATTTAAAAATGGAAGCTGAAAAATCAATGATACCAGACCTAAAAGGATATCCTAATTGTCACTGCCACTTGAGATACCACCTCAATGAATCTAAAAGTGCTGTAGACCCTATGAAGTGGAACAGGAACTACCACAAAATGTTCCCTATGAATATACCACACTCTACAGTAAAATAGGGAAACACTGAGGCAGTGAAACAGTGTACTACAGAATTGGGAAACCAGGCTCTAGTAAGTGCTCAACGTCATCAAGGGCCTTTGCCTTCAAGGATCTTTTTTACCAACCATTTGTCACAGTACAACAAAACCCTGCAAACAAACACTCTCATACTTCCCGTAAAATCATTCCATTCCCGGTTGTAAGCCAATCTTTCACCCACTAAACTAAATCCTTTCATTGCTCTTTTCGATCAAAAGCCATTCATCCTCGACTGACTTTCAGGCTTCTTTAACCAAATGAATCTTATCTTTGAAGTATGTATCTTTTTTGTTTGTTTTTGCCTCTGTTTTAATTCACTGTTTCTTCCCTGTCTCTCCCCCTCTGCAACATTCTGTTACAGGCAATTCATTTCCATTGTAGCATGTCCACTGTTTGTCTGCTCGCTCAGAGCTTATGAATGAACATTTTTTTTTGTTTTGTTTTTGGTGGTGGTCTTGCCGATCGTTTGCATCAAAAGTGCCGTTCTTGGCCATGTCTTGAGTTGCCATCAAACAACGCCCGGGGCCTGGTCGTCCATCATCGTTGCCGGGACTTGGGTACCCGCCGCCCACGCCCATGCCCAGGCCCAGGCCCTGCCCTGCCCTGCTCCGACTGGCACTGGAGTCGACTGTTGCTCTTGGTGGTGCCTCGCTTCATTGAAGCGTGCCAATTTTCAATGAAATGTTTTCGGCATCTTGTGTTGTGTTTTGCCCTATTTTGAACTGAGTTTTGGAGTTGTATACCCTGGCACGGTTAATGTAAAAGGCTATGTTGTACTCAAGCCCCACTGGACACATTGCACATGGAAGAACCCTTTTTGATATGGTTACATCTGTGTATTCCCCAAAGATCACTTTGTTTTCCATTCCAAATTGAGATAAACGTGTGATATTCACATTTTTCAGGAGTTGGAGCTTCCCTTCACTCGATAAGATTTATGGGCATATAATCACTGGGTATCTTTTAGTCGGAATATCATCTCTGGTGTTCTTTATGGTTTTGGCTTTTGTTACTTTGTTTGATTTCCTTAATTTGTTGCATGTTCACGAGGGGCACATTTCATGTCATTTGCTTACACCCGCGTTATCTTTCTCTTTCCCTTTCCCTTTCACCTTGGTCTTGGTCTTTCTCCTTTCATTTTGGCTTTCTGACAGCCGAAGTTAACAAACATTAATTACAATTTATAATTTAATGATACGGCTTTGGGCTTTGGGCTTTGCTCTTATCAGAAATGTGAACTTGACCGCCTTCAAGGTGAATGCACAAATAATACTTTTTTAATGCTAAAAGTAATTTTCACGCCAGAAAAATGTCGGCAGTCGTTTCCGGTTGTACTTGTAAAAGAAACCCGCTTAAGTTGTAATTTAATGCCAATGGAGTTCATTGTTTTATTTGTGATGAACAGGGAAATGCAATGGCAATGATTTGCATGGTTAATCCCCACAATTAATGATACTTTCCTCCAAGTGAATCGTGATTGATTTTGGGTGTACTCATTCGAGTTGTATCCTGGAACTATTCCCAATAATTTGGTGATTTTTCTGAATAGAATAGCGGATGTACCCTGAAACTATTTGCCAATTCGCAATGAACAAAATAGTTGTATGTTTATACATACATATGTAGAATATATTTAGCTATTCTCTTAATGTTGTTGCATATAATATATTGAATATATATTTAAATTCCACTAATTGCCTCTCGTGAAATATTATAGAATATTTATTTGACTAGATTCCTGTTTTCGCAAGATAATACCAGTTTATTTGTTGCCTTCATGCGTGTTTATATGAAACATATATGGGTAAATACATGTATATACTCTGTACTCTAATTTATTTATTAATTTTGCTTTGATAAGATCATTGCTAAATTCTGCTTCACATTCCGATTTCTTTGTTCATGAACGACACGTGAATCAATCACATAAATGTACATACATACCTGGTGAGGAGATCCCTCACCTCATTGACAGGCCAACAATTATTTTGGCAACACTTGGCAATCAATTGTAACAATATTGTAATTAACACAGCCACATACGAGTCCACAGTCAACAGTGCGAGAGAACGACACTCAAACAATAAGATTAAGGTAACGCAAGAAATAGCAGCCTCTGAAGTCGAAACCGAAGATACCCTTTCAGATTTATTGGTTCTTTGGCAGCTTTGGGATATCATAAGATACGATTGGGCTCTAATTTTCAAGAGCTTTGGTAAATTACCATTTTTAACTTTCTTTCCGATAGAATATAAACTATTTTAAGACCAAACTTTGATTAGATTGCAGTAAGATGTATCTCTATTATATACAAAAGTTTTGGGTATATTGCGTATTGCGTGCAGCTATAAATCGGGTGCGTTCTACCCACACCCAAACCCACAGATCAGGGAGATCTTAAAATAGGAGAATCTAATTAGCATAGAAACAGAAACTAGGAGACGTCTGTTAACCTACATATATGCAGTACCTAATAATAATCTATATAATTTATAAGGTCAAGAACCTTTCATTCTTTACACTTCAAAGCTCTTATCGCAATCCCAATACCCTCTCTAAGAGTACAGCAAACAATGAGACCCCATGCTCAGGTTGATTTGCCTTTGTGTCGCTACCTCAACTGCCAGGGCTGCAGAAACCCCCACAAATCTTACAGACACACACACACACACACACACGGATACAGATACGGATTGTACTGTAGCTAAGCTTTTCATATCTATTTGTCAATGTTTGTGTGGAGCTGCGGCAGAGACTTCGACTGCGACCGCGACTGATTAAGTGTTGAGGTGGTCTCGGGCTCGTGGGGCGCCTTCGTGCCTCCGAGTCTCAGTGATAACTGCACTTTGGTGCCCAGCGGTCGCGCTTCGCGCTAATTTTTGAATTCGAATTTGAATCTTTTCAAAGTGTTAATTTTCTTTGTCGCACAAAGGAACCATACAAACATTTTTGTAAATATCTTAAGGTGATATATTTCGGTGAAGTGAAGTGCTCAAGAACTCAACAAATTAAAGGTGATTAACATGTTTAATAAAATAAAAGACAGACTGCACATAATCTAATAAAAACTAAAATTATACAAGTACCGATTTCTGGAATCATTTAAAAAATCAGAAATATACAGCAAATTTAGAGGCTATACTGGGGGAAAAAAGACTATATGTAGCTCATAGCTGATATAATTATATTTAGAAAACACGCTCATCTGTGCATCAAATTAACACAATTTACTTAGTTGTTCTACATCACAAAAAAGGTTTTTACCAAGTACACATAAAAAGTGAATATTTGTAATTAAATAATTTTAATTTATTTATTGAAGCATTTTCTGTGATTGATTTAACTCGTTAAAAACCACTCGTAAAGTGTCGTAGATTGTGCAAATTGATATTAAAATTATTATATATCTTTAATTGTTTGAACTAATTAAAATGATATAATGGAAACTGTAACGAAACAATCATCAAACTATTGCCCAACCACGAGACCCCTTTCCGTTCACCTTTTTCATTCAAAACACCTTTACCGTTAACCCGTTTTCGGCCACTCTCGCCCATTGATCAAACGTTTTTTTTTTAGCGCAGATCAGATCTATAAAATATCTTTGAATTACGAAATCTCTGACCACGTTCCCACCACCTTGTTATAAAATAAATTTAATTTCAACAAATTTAACAATTAGCTGGCAAACATTAAACAAATTACATTAAACGCAATTATGTTTTAACGTGTACACCGAAACCTTGGTAGAAATCCATAAAAAGAATACCTACTCGCACATATATTTTCTTTACAATAGCAGTAAAAAAACTATCGTCAGCAATAGCTAATGGAAGCAACTGCAACAACAATTCAGCTATTAAATTATAACAGTAAATTGCATGATCGAAATACAATGCGAAATGCGATGACAAAATATTACTTCCACATGCGATTTATCAGCACGTCTCAATGACATCTGGGTGACGAGCAGCAGGTTTTTACTTATAGTCCAGTAGTAGTTGGCTTTATATATAGAGAGCGTAAAACATAGGCAAAAACAACAACAGAATCGTAAAGAATCGACTGAGCGTAGGCATAATCAATGAAAGAGTAAACATATCTATAAAAACTCAATAGAATGAAGAAAAAGCAGTGAAAAATGTTTACTCCAAGGAAGTTTAATTGACAGAAAATTTGATACAAATTTAAATACTATGGATACCTATGGATAGTTTTATTAGGAACTAATTCAGGTGCATATTACTTACATAAGCCTGTAAGAAACCACTTAACTGTTGATAAACGTTCAAAGTCTACTCTTGAAAAAATATTAATTATTTTGAAAGTCTTATCATCGTTCTTGCCTTGTCTGTGTGCTCTTTCTCTTTAAGAACTTTGAGAATAATTTCACGTTCATATATTTTTGATTAATTTACATCAAATGCGAGTATGAGTTATTATTAGTTATTGCAACTATTTCTAGCATTTCAAAGACATTTACTTTTATTGAGAAAGAATTTGTGACTGAAGCGATGGCCAGATTTTAGAACCGTTCTGCAGCGTTCATTCACTCGCGTAATACACTTCAGTGCCTGAAGCCTAAAGCACTCTTTGCCTGGGGTATAAAAGCACGCACAACTAGCGCCTAATATAAATTCATTAAGAGCAAAAGTCAGAGGCCATAAGGCTAATCTAAGCTTATTTAAATCCCATTTTATTCAAGTTGCACGCGGAAAACACCGCAAGCACCAAGGAATAAACAAATGACACGAATGTTGCCCCATTTCAGACGTTGATAAGAAAAGTGCAAGATTAGAAAAGTGTACACAAATAATAAACCAAAATCTTTGATAGCACAATTACTCGAATGTCTAGCCAAACAGGCCAGAGTCTAGGCACCTTTATTATGGTAGTAAAAACCACACTAACATACATATGTATATGAGGCGTAAACCGTATAAAGCTATGGCTGTCTAATATTAATTGTTAATTACAAAATGATGAAATGAACTTGCTGCATTTCAAACAGATCGAAAGCCAAAGGTGTGTTCGTTTCATACATGGAATTCAATCTGGATTAAGACCAGATCAGTGATAAAACATCTGTGAAAGAATGAGCCAGTATTCAAATGATGTAAGAAAATCTGAGTGGGTGATATATGTATGTATGAATGGAATTCAGGTTGCTGAATAATAACTTTATGACAGTTTGTGTCAAATGTCTATCAAAAGTTGTTCTTTTGTTTGACAAAAGAATGTTCATAAATATTTTTAAATCAAATTGAAATCATTTATTAAAAGAACAAGTGTTCAAACCAGAACCACAGAACCATTAACACAGGTGCGATGTTGGAATTATTATAATTATAATCTAAATAATTATAAATTCAATATTAGCTTAGGGAAATATTCATAAAACATATGAAGTCATTTTTCACACTTTTGTAACATTTTCCTTATATGTAGAGTTTTCCCTTTTCCATGCATTGCAAACCCTCATTTGCCTAACTCAAAGTAACATTCAACTAACTGGCGTTATTAATTAGACTTCCATCTGGTAGAGTGGAAAAGGCAATCTGTTTTATGCAAATACTGAAATAATATACGGAACATAAAGCAAAGCCAAAGCCAAATCCAATTCCAATGCTAATCTGACGCAAATTACGCGACTTCTCAAGCCACTCCGTCTGACGTTTTAATTGTCGATGTTAATGTTAATTGTTGTCTATCATGTTGATGCAGATGGAGACGCAGCTGCAGTGCAAATTCCTGATGATTTTCTGTCTGCTCGGGCTGTCCGGCCTGGGGGAAACCTATAGGATACTGTTTATGGGACCCTTTCCGGCGCCCAGTCATTGGCTCTGGCTGGAGCACTTTCAGCGGGATCTGCTACGGCATGGACACCATGTGACGAGTGTTAACAATCATCCCACCAAGCAACCCCACGAGAATCTCACTGAGATCATTATTAGTCCATCCTTTGATATACCCAAGCATTGTGAGTACACTGTAGATGGCATACCCTCAAAGATAGGAAATACTCAAAAAGAATCTGTGTTCTCCACTCAGTTCCTAAAAAGAACATCTTTAGCATGCAGTTTGCCAGTGATTTCCAAAATCTGCAGCTGTGGTGGACCATTGGACTGATGACCACAGAGCATGCCTTCAAGGATGCGAATGTTCAAAAACTAATCCAGAGCAAAGACGATCACTATGATCTGGTGATCTTAGAGCAGTTCTTCCACGAGGCTTTCCTCATGTTCGCGAAGAAGTTCAACTGTCCGGTGGTCACAATCGGCACCATGGGCTATGCGGATAACATGGATCATTCCATGGGCATCCTCACGCCTTGGTCAGTGATACCACATCTCCTGCTATCGCATACGGATCAGATGACGTTCAGTCAGCGTGCCTATAATGCCTATATATCGCTGTACGATGCGGTGATGAGGCGGTGGTTCTATCTCCCCAAAATGCAGGAAATGGCCGAGAAGTATTTCAAGCCAGTGATCAATGGTGAGTCTCTAAAACACTCATTCGATATAGATATCTATTCTAATGTTTGCTCATTCTGCCCTTCAGGTTCCCTTCCCCATGTGCATGAACTCGAGCGTAACATCTCTCTAATGCTGATCAACAGTCATCGCAGCGTGGATCTCCCTCGGCCAAGCATGCCTGGTCTCATAGACGTTGGGGGAGCGCACATTCAGCCTGCGAAGAAGTTGCCCGACGATCTGCAATCCTTCCTGGACAACGCCACCCATGGCGTGGTGTACTTCAGTTTGGGCTCCTACATGAAGAGCACGGATATGCCAGCAGATAAAACCGCTCTGATCCTTAAGGCCTTTGGACAGCTGAAGCAGCAAGTCATTTGGAAGTACGAGAACGATTCGATTGGACAGCTCCCCGCGAATGTTATGATCAGGAAGTGGATGCCGCAGAATGATATTCTGGCCCATCCGAATGTTAAGCTCTTTATCACCCACGGAGGGATCTTTGGCACCCAGGAGGGCATCTATTGGGGCGTGCCGATGCTGTGCATTCCCCTCTATGGTGATCAGCACAGGAACACGATCAAATCAGTGCGGGAGGGCTATGCTCGATCCCTGGTCTTCTCCAAACTGACAGTCGATGACCTCGTGCGGAACGTCGAGACGCTCATATACGAGCCGCAGTACAAGCGCAGTGCCCTGGAGGTCTCGGAGCGCTTCCGCGATAATCCCATTCATCCGCTCGATGAGGCCACCTTCTGGATCGAGTACATTATGCGACATCGGGGGGCCCGTCATCTGAAGTCCCACGGCGCCTTCCTACCCCTCTATCAGTATCTGCTGCTCGACATCATCGGCTGCCTGTTGCTCGGTGCTTTCCTAACCATCTGGCTGCCCTGGCGTATGCTCAAGAGAGCCCACAAATGGTCGCAAAAACTGAATGAAGAAAAAAAACGTTTGTAGGAGATGAAAGCCATAAATGTTGCTAAATAGTTTCTAAGTGTTGTACAGTCACACGCGAGAATAAATTGTGATATATGTAAGATATTATTCAGAGTATCGTTTATTTGTATTATTATCGCGGTGGCCTGGTACATATGTGTGATTACAAAAGTTCTTAATGTTACGGCTTATTTCTGCTGATTTCCTGCTACTGCTTGAGTCGCGTCCGTATGCAGCTGTTCTCTCTTTGTCGCTGCTTCGCTCGGTTCCTCTTCTTCTCTGTCCGCTGTTGATCTGCTGCTGTTGCTGCTGCTGTTACTACTGCTGTTCCTGCTACTGTTGCTGCTGCTGTTCCTGCTGCTGTTACTACTGCTGTTGCTGCTGCTGTTACTACTGCTGTTGCTGCTGCTGTTACTACTGTTGTTGCTGCTCATCAGTTGTTCCTCTGCTGCTGTTATTACTGCTGTTGCTTATCCCCGCTGCCCCCTCGCTCGGTTCCTCTTCTTCTCTGTCCGCTGTTGATCTGCTGCTGTTGCTGCTGCTGTTACTACTGCTGTTCCTGCTGCTGTTGCTGCTGCTGTTACTACTGCTGTTGCTGCTGCTGTTACTACTGCTGTTGCTGCTGCTGTTACTACTGCTGTTATTACTGCTGTTGCTTATCCCCGCTGCCCCCTCAATAGGCCGCCAGCTGGCCCACTCCTCCTTACATATATTTTAAGATCACAAATTAAATATTTGTATGTAAAGTGTGTATGATCCAGTGAACCTCCTAGTAGCCGTCGCAACAAATGTAAAAGATCTTTGTGTTTCGTGGTAGTTTGTTGCCGGCAATAGTATGCAACAGTTTTCAAAAAGATGCGTTGTATTCCAATAAAAACCATTGCCTAGTTTTAAGAAGCAAATAATGTTCGGCTACAGTGTAAATTTAAAGCATGATTTCAGGATTTGATAGGCTGCTATATAAACTGTGTTCGAGAAGTCGCGCAACATTTTGAAACATTTCCGCAACATTTGGTAAATCTATATGGGACATTTTTGATTGGAGCCCTTTTTTATAAAAAATCAATTAAAATGGAGTACTTTAAATAGAGATTCTTGTAGAAAATGTATTAATTTATCTGATAAAATTATATGTTCAGTGCTGAGTGTCCCAGCTTTGTGGTTAGGTCTCTTCCCCTACACCTGATCAATCAACTTATTATCCCTCTATACGATTCATAATTTATGTGTCAATTAATTAAGCCGAAATGGGGAAATAGCTAAAGTCAGCAGCGTCGAAAAATGCCAATTGAGTCGCCTTTGTGCGGAGTGTTTTGCTTGTTCCCCGCTCAATCAACAATCACGAAGTGTTCTTGAGCCATCTCCGTCTCCATCTTCTTCTCATATAACACCCACACAAAGCACGTTCTTTTCTTGTCTGGCTTAAAAGAAAACAGAACTGAAATTATGCAATTGCTTGAAGTGGAATTGTAGAACAAAGAAACCGAAACCGAACTTAGAATACCAGCTAAAAGCATTACTCTTTCCTTTTAAGCCAACAACTTGATCTCAGAAACAATTCCACAGATATCTAAGTTTTTCTCCATTCCCCAAAGTTCCTGTTTCAGCATTCTTTTTCCCCCTTTAAGCAACAACTTAAGCGCCACGTCTAAGACTTTGGCATTAAATAATCGACTCAAACTGGTCGACTAGTCAATGGCTTTATAGGTCTTCTTTTACCGGGCTCGACATTTACATATGTATATTGTGGTGGTATCTTTTATGTCATCTAAAAGTATATTATTGTCTCCAATACTTTCACTGCCTGGGCATCACCTTGTGGAGGGTTCAAGTGCGAATATTTGTTGTTGTAGCACCAACCGGTTGAACCGAGTCGCGGGCAGAGAGGGGGAGGGACAGACCCGTGGGGCAGGCATCTTCAATTGTTGTTTGCCGTTGCCGTTTGTCTTGTGTTTGCCGATTATAAATTGTAAAATTTTAATTTTAATTGAACATATATTACCGATAGACCCCTTCCCCGCCATCTCGCTGGGCCATTGAAATGTGTTTGAAATAATATCCAATGCACAATATACATATATGTATCCAACACTTGAGCTACTTTTCGGAGGCAGCTTTTCGACTAACGGAGCTGTTACTGTATTTTTGTTTTTGTGGGTCTTTGTACATATATATGGTTTTCAAATATTATTTAAACGATATTTTATTTATATTTGCTCGAGTCTGTCTGTTTTTACGTAATGCCTCAAACCGGACCTCAATATGTGGCAGATCTTGACGCCATTTGAAGAGCACTAAAAGTTCGATATTTAGTGCCAGGCACACGAAATTCTCGAGGCTGAAGATTGGCCATTGACCATTGGCCATTGGCCGCCGCTCTATGATATGGAGAGGCTCTTGTGATTAAGAAACCCCTTCAAATTCCAACAACACAAAAATCCCACATAAGAGAACCGGCTTCTTCTGAAAATTCCCCCTAATTTGAATACGACAATTTGCAGCTGACTGACTAAGGATTTGGTGTGGGGGTCACATGCATATTGCCGTATATGGTATATATGGTACCGCGTACCGCGAGGTTTGCTTTGGGCATCCGTGTTGACAATTAGCAAGTGTTTGGCCCAAGACCGAGAGTAATATAAGGTTTATATGCGACTCCATTGCATTTATTAATTATTATTTACGAAAACACGTCGCCATTCGCCGCCATTCGACTTCAGATCACATGAGTCTAACCAAAATCCAGCGACATCAGCAGCAGCAGAAGCAACCAACAAACAAACAAGAAAGGAAAGGGATCCGAAGGTGCAGATACCCTTAGAGATTGGAAGTTTCTATGTGAGATGATAGAGAAGCTACAGTGATGGAAGATGTATGATATTCTGTCGGTTTTGAACTATTTAAAAACAATAAGAACCAATAAAGTTCCTTCTTGGAATATATACAGACTTTGCCTTCGATTTCCGCCAACGAAACGAGTGCTATGCTCGTGAAAGATTGACCACAAGCAGATCATTTGATCTGAAGGAAGTGCTTAAGCTTCGTTCTAACCCGATCATTTCTATGAATGCTTTGATACCTTCCGCTAAATAGAACGTAAAACCATGTGCCATGTTCCTTCCTGCTCTGCCTGCTAAACTTCTAACCAAAATTATAATACCCCCCTATAGCTTGTAAGGGTATACAAAAACTAAGCAAACCACTTTTTGGATGTTTTCTTCAGTTAGAGCTTTGTCCGGGGCTTGGTTCCTGTTACTAACGTCGTCGTCGCAGCAGCAGTGGCAGAGCAGAGGGTAAACCACATAGACAAACAGCCGCAAAGAAAAAAAAAAAACAAGAAAAAAACAAAAAAGAAACGAAACGGAGCCAAGCTGAAGATTAGCATTAAGCACGTGATGCCGTCTTGTGATGCTAGTTTTTGGTATTTCGTTTTTTGAGAAACATCTCGGAAGATACACAGATACGTGCATAATGTGTGTGTGTGTGTGTGCTGTAATTAAGCGAGCGGCAGCTGAAATGGTCGTTTAAATGTAATTTCAGCTCAGTTTTTGTATGTTTTGATCAACAGAGGTGACAAATTAAGGCCCCTCCATCGCAAGGTCATGTGAGGGGCGTCCATTAGCCATGAAGACACACACACACACACACACAAGCACACAGCAACAGTAACTGAAACGACACCGGCTTCAGGTGTGTAAATGTTTTGGCATTTACATACATTTGTGCGCGTGCACTCCTCCTCTCCTCGGGTGCCTTGATTGATTGGAAAGTTAAGGTTGTCGTCTATCATCATCATCATTGAAATGAGGAAAACATAATGCCAGCTAATGTGAGATTATGCAAATCAAAATGCGCATCTATCGAGCACCAGCCACAGCTCCAGCTCCAGCTCCAGCTCTTGATAAATACATTGACCTGCATGCCTGCCTCCGAGTCTCCAAGCCTCCAAGCCTCCGGGGGCTACAGCAAAATCAACACAACATTTTTCGTTTTTCGATGTTTAATGATGAAATTATGCCGAAAAAAACTGAAAACAAAAGGCTGTCGGGTCTTGACAGTATGCACTTTCTACGGGGTAAAAGGGATATGGTATGAGATGAGGGAGTAGGTTTTTGGAGATGGCTTTTAGGGCCATTATTAGGGCTCATGACTAATTTCATGCTACAATTTTCCACAGTAAAGAAGTTGGCTTTCCCACTAAATCTTCCTTAGGAAATCTTGTTGATTGTTTGCTCCACAAAACTTGGGGGATTGCCATTCAGATTATCTCATATTTATGTACCCTAGAAATTTGTTCAGAATTGATTATGTGATGACTCATTTCAAACAAAATGGAAGGCGCTAATCAGCCTTCGAATGTTTATGAAATATCAATAATGCTGAGCTGCCATTTTTTCTATAGAAGAAGTGACTCTATAAAAGTGACATATATAACCCCTCAAAACCTGCAATATCACTTGACAAATTTCACTCTCAAAATATTGCTGTAAGTTCGCGTGAAGGTCTAAATATTTTTGGCTGATTTCGATTAGCAATTCCAGTGTCTGATGAATTCGTACGAGTATGGAGTATGGAGAGGGGGGGTTGATGGTTTTGAGCCTCTTTTTGATGACATTTAGCCATCCAATTTATGGCCAACAGACATGCGCCACCTGTCGTCCCTGTTTGCTTGGCATTTTAGCGCCTCGACACTAATCGAAATGTTTGGCCAGATAATTAACTTGGCCGACAAGAGATGTACCCAAGAGATGGGTCTGGTCTGGGTCTGGTCGTGGCGGGGGATGCCCTCTCGCTGATAAGTTGCATTCGATTTCTAATTTGCTTTTTTCATAGATGATACTTGAATACTTGAATGGATTGCCCAATGGGGGAGAGACCTTTGCAGCTGGAATTGGAATAGAGACTGGGATGGGGTCTGGGACTGGGCTGTGGGACTGGGCTCTGCTCTGAGTATGGGTAATGGGTAATGGGGTTTTGGGCGCTTACATCACAGCAGGAGGCAGACCCGACAGCAAGATGGA